CATTTGGGTTTTGTATATTTGGAAGTTTAATCTTCCTTGCCTTGTTGTTCCTACAACCCCCCTTCCCTGTTAAACCCCTACCCTTCTTCTTTCTGTACCCTGCTAAACCCCTTCCCTTCTTTTCTGTACCCTGTTAAACCCCTTCCCTTCTTCCTTTCTGTACCCTGTTAAACCCCTTACCTTCTTCCTTTCTGTTCCCTGTTAAATAATATATTTCATTTTGTTAATTTTCAATTTGGTGTAAGGTTTTCATTACCCCTGCCTTCCTTATTTACCTCTCTACCTGGGAAACTGAGGGATAAGGGAGGTGGGACACAATTCTGCCTTCTAACCGGGACAACTTCACACCACCACACCCAGCAAAGCCATCTCAACCAGCAGCTGCTTTCCTCAGAGAGACTCCACCACACCAGGGGTTTTCTGCAGCAGTAAGGAAACATCAGCTCGCTTGTTGCTAACTTTAAGGGTCAGTGTTTGAGCATTTTTAACTTTCTGACAGTTTTGAACTATAACTCTGTCAGAGATCAGCACAAGGGGAGATAAAAATGCTGGAGGAAAGGCAACAGGCTGGGCAATCCTTTGATTGCAATTGTTTTTAAGACTCTTCCCCTGTTTGGTAGATCAGTTAGTACAATTTCTCTGGTCAGGTCATGGCACCCTAAGGCTTAACAGTTATGACAACTAATTTTGCTGGTAAGGACACACAGATGTATAAAACTTGATGATAGGAATGAAACTTTGTTGTCACTTTATGACGAGAGAGAAATACCTTCACTTAGCCTGAACAAAGTCCAAAACCACTCTGATGACCCTTAGTCTTTTCAGAGTTTTGATTTATTATTTCCTACCATCGCTCGCTGAAGCCGACATGAAATTACTGAAACAAGACTTAAGCCACTATGATGGTTTTAAATACCCACCTGTAACTAAAATTACATTAAACCCACTAAAATTTCAAGCTCTGAAGTTCAAAAGTGGAACTACCATTCTGTCTGGTGACAGGTTGATGCAAGTTTAAGAACACTGAAGATCAATAAATGGTTGCTATTACCGTGGCACACCAGCAGTCTTAAACTCTCCAGCCTTCCATACTGAGCAGCAACAAACAAAGGTGTAATTCCAAAGTCATCCTTACATTCTTTGTCTGCTCCTTCCTCCAGGAGTATTTGCATTATCTCAGTGCTTCCCTGAAATAAATATTTGTGTTTCTAATCAAAAGTGGGGAACAGACATCATCTACTTTTCCTACACATTCCAAACAGGAATAAGAAAAAACTGCAACACATCCAATATTCTAAAGATATACTGAAAAATTAATGGCAGAAAAAAATCAGACCAGTTCCATTTCATTTTTCACATCTGCTCATTTACATGATACATACAAATGGGAATTAAATGAGTTGATCAGAACCAGTAAGCTAACACACTTCTATTCTGGAGACAGGTCCTACATCTTGTATGATATATAAATGATGATGAGACACTAAACAAAACTTTTGCTAAAAAAAATCTTTTAATAGACTCACTTCCTACATAAAACATGCAAGCTACTGAGTAAATGTAATAAATTTTAGTATTTAAATAACTATTGGTTCCCAGCATCAACATCTCATATATACTCTTCAGTGAACCACAAGCCCTTCAGCTTTTCCCAACCTTAGGACTGCTAGGGTAGGTTAGGAACAATTCACTTGATAAAAAGGCAAAGAAATAGATAAATTATCACTCAGAATACACCAGTTCCATGGAAATCATGATGCACTTGCAGGTTACCTGATAGGAAGCTTGGTGCAAAGAATTCCATCCAGACCAACAATGAGGCCCTTGAACGCTTGCTCCGTGCTGGAGCAGAAACCTTACAGCGTGTGGACGCCAGTTTTCAACAGCTTTGAACAGGACCATTAAAAAAAAAAGAAGAAAAAATCCTCTTATTAATTAAACAGACTTAAAGAACTAATTGAAAAACTCAAATGGCCTAACCACTAGCCTCCTGACACAATAACCTAATTCTTTTCAGCTCACCCTGTATGTGCGTACTTGCCACCTACATTCACACCCCCAAAACAGAGCTGAAGAATGGAAATTTATTCACAAAGGCTTTGGTCAGACTCAGTCAGAATTCCACCTACATGGATTGCAAAAGCAAGTCTCTTGCCTCCCTTTTTCCCCATAGAACATGGAGATTATTCTGCAGCTGGCACAAACCACAGGAGAGCTGCTGTGCCCTTCCTGAAGCTGTGAAGCCCAGTGGTGATTTTACAACAAATTCACCCAAACTTAAAAAAAGTTCAAAATTATTTAAAAAAAAAAAGTTCAACATTATTTTAAACACTTATATAAGATTAATTTATAATGTGCATATCTATTTTATGCTAATGCATTCGTTGACAAAGCCTCCTTTAGCATCCTGATGTATCCCCACATTTGCCACCAACAAGCCTACTGTGGGATGTCTGCTCTGTAAAAGCTCCATGTGGTGATAAACAACCTGCAAACAGTTGCTACTGACTGAATAATTTCTGGAGTTATTGGCACACAGGCTCACAAAAGGAGTTCTTCTGGCTTGCAGTACTCACCATCCAACACAGAGCTGTGCCAGAGCCCCATCACATAGCCTGGACTAACCCGAGCATAAAATTCTTCCTTTTTAAAAAGGCAGCAAATGAACTCTGGGGAGTTTCAACTCAAATAAGTTCTTCCCCACTCATCAGTGTTTCTGAGATTTCAAGAAAGCTCATTCTTCCTTTTTAAAAAGGCAGCAAATTAACTCTGGGGAGTTTAAACTCAAGTTCTTCCCCACTCATCAGTGGTTCTGAGATTTCAAGAAAGCTTGTGTCACCTATGAAGAGTGGGGTGGTTGCTTCAATGGTAAGCTCGTTGGGGTTAGCCCCAGCCTCCAGAAGAACACGGATGCTGTCCACGGAGCCGCGGCGTGCTGAGAGGTGCAGGGCACAAAACCCCTCATGTGTCCTGGCCTTCAGGTAGTCATCAGATGAAGCTGCAAACGAGAATCATGGAGAGGGGGGGGGAAAAAGCATATTGAGTCATGAACCTCAAAATAGTTTTTTTTGCTTAAAATAATGATTTGAGATGTGGAGCCTACAGCATAACGGTGACCGTGCTGTTACCAGCTCTTCTGAACAGCAGTGCCGCTCAGTGCTGGCCCTACACAGATTCTGCCCTGGGCAGAAACCATAAAGGAAAATCCCCTGTGGTTCCCAGGCCAATTTCTCTTTACCACAGCTACTCAGCATCTATGAAACCACCCAGAAATTTTACAAACCAAGTAAGAGAAACTGACTTAGTTTGTATTTCATATGACAGGGAATTGAGCAGAAAACCACACTACTTCACTTCCAATTTTCCTTACCTGCACGAATTAGCAGCCTCAGGCATTCACTGGCATTGTTAGCTGCTGCTTCATGGATTGGCACCCACCGTCTGTTATCTGGAACATCTATGCTGTATCCCTGCTTTATTAGTTTCCTCAGCAATTTAACATTTCCTTCTCTGGCTGCAAGCCCCACGGCAGAACATCGATCAGAGTAAGCTTCTGTAAAATCCATCTCTGCCTATGGCAAAATCTGCAGGAGGAGGGTGGGAGGAAGAAAGGGAAGGAGGGGAGAAAAGAGATGCCTGTTAGTACAAATCATAGAATTACAGAATTGCTGAGGTTGGAAGAGGCCTTTAAGATCA